GATTATATGTGTGATCTGGGATCATTTCTAACAACATTTCAGAGCACGTAGTGTTGTCACACTTGCATACTTTTCATTCTTTTAACTGTGCTTAAGAGATGTGTCTTCGTACCTAGGTGATAGGCCAAATAGTATGCAAGTTTGTATATGCTTTTGTCCCTCATTTCTTAGCATTTTGGCTGCTGATTTGGGCATGTTTGAGAGCTGTCCACGTTGGTTTAAGTCCATTTTCGCATGTTGTTGCATGCTTGGCCTATTGCATGTTGTTGCATGCATGAGTTATATTGCATTTGGCGTGCCTTTTGGTAGGTTGCTTTGCATGTTTGCATGCTAGTCCCATTGCATGTTGTTGAATGCTTATCATTGGTATTGTTGTTGCATGCCTATTACATTGTAACACTTGCATGATTATGTTACTTTGTTAAGTTCATCATGTATGTATTACATTGGTCTAAATATACTTGTCCCTTTACATGTTGTCACATGTTTGACTCACATGTTGTTGCATGTTTGTCATTGGCATTGTTCTCACATGCCTTGCATGTTTACTTGTTTAGGTTGTATGCCTATTGCAGATTGCTTGCTTGCATGCTCATGTTGCATTAGCTTGCTTGCATGCCTAGGTTCCATAGCATTATGCATGCATCCCTTGCCTCTTGATCAAGCATGATAGAGGTTGGGGCCCCTTATGTGTTGTGTGCATTTCATTTGATATAAATTGCACACTTGGCACCTTTGGCCATCATGCATTGAAAAGAGTGATTAGTGGCTCGAGGGTCGAGATCTACACTTCTTTGAGTCTTAAACATGATAAGGGGTATAGTTGTGCAAACATTGTATTGTAAATGTATTGCCATGCTCTATTTGTCTTCTGCTGCAACAGCAGGAGCTTTTCATAGGAAGAGATGGTCAATCGACCATATTAAGTGCCGATCGGCAATAAACATTTGGCCGAGAGCCTTATATTTGGTCGATGACCAATTTCCCATGGGCGATGGCCCTATTTCTTGGTCGATGACCTCTCAGAATGACGACGAAGTGGTTCTGGAGCATCACAGAGACTTGTACAGTTTCCAGAGGTACATAGTAGTGCAAACAAAGGCAACATGAAGCATGGCAACGGATTTCCGAGCGAAGCCGACCGAGCATGCATTCGTCTCTCTTCCCGAGGCTATTTTACTGTTTTCATAGCTTAATTAATTTGTTTAATTAGTTAAGTGTTGTGTAATAATTAATTAGCTTGTTAGTTAGTTAATTTGTTAATTTGTATTATTCTTTCGGACCCTCCCGCGAGAGGGCGAATTTTGTAATAAGTGTGCGTGAGTGTGCGAATGTCTTCCAACCCCACGTCTTTCTCCCTTTTACTTACATGCTTTCAATGGTTAGTTTTAGCTCATGTTTCAATTAGTATCCTTATGCTCGCATGTCTGCATCATTCTTCTGTATTGGATGCACCGGGCTCAGCGCATCATACTAACCGCGTAGTATTTTAATTCCAACTTGAATACTTGTATCGAGTTGTCGCATTTCACATGCCATTCTTAGATAGCCGAGCCTATTTCTAGTTACATTTTGCATGTGTTGCATTAGGCATCTTAACATAGCTAGGATCACACATTGATTACTAACTAGCTATTGTTTTGGCTCGGAGTACTAGGCAAGCTTTTATGCTTTAGCATCTTCCATGAGTGTGAGTGTTAACATGACCGCATACTTGCCATGAGGCTAACTGCTTGTTTGACATAATTGCCTGAATGCCTATGGGTGAAGGTTAGATTACTTGAATTGGAACAATTCATTGAAATGCGAGTTTTAAGCCCACCTAATTGTGGCAAAATCATGTTTTCTAAGCCTACTTAAGGGTGGCAAAATTCACGTCCTAGCCTAGTTGCGAGTGGCACCTTCAAACCATTTTCAAACAAACAAACATGACATGATTTGTTCCAACTTAGGCAATCTAGTCCATACTTGTGCGTTGTGCGCATCACATAGTAACTCTAGGCTAATAACCAGAATAAGAACGCACGTGTTTTCAAAAACAAGATATCATGTTAGTAAAGGCCGACCTTCGATCGGGTGAGCGGGGGTGCTCATCGCATGACCTTCCCCTTTCCTACCCAAGTTCCCGTGCCGAGGCAACTTTGGTGATGACGGACACGTGGCCTTAGGCACGAGTTAGGGTTTCCTAAATTCCCGAAAATAAAACATTTAGGTGGCGACTCTGTATCTGGCAAAGAAGTCCATGTTTGGCACTTCTTTACAAAAATTAGTTTTCCAAAACGATTTGCCAGATTTGGACTCTTTGGTGATTTATCAATCTCACATTGCACATTGTGAGATCAGATTAAGAACCGTGACATTTGAGTCCAAACTGTAGCATAGCATTGAAGCCCAAGGGCGCGTCTACATCCCTCTGTTGAACGCATTCTCGATTTGAACCCCAAGTCCATGCAAACTTTTGAAAATAGATAGTGGAACGACTATCAACTTTTGCAGCATATCAGGCTCAAGATTCTGTACCACTATCCGCACTTGATCCCTCTCAGAAGGGCGATCTGTCATCTGTGCTGCCTTTGCTCTCCACCTTGCAACAAATTCCACAAAAGGCTCTGTTGGGTTCTAGCGGGTTGCTTCAAGCTCTTGCAAGGTCATTTCAACCTGGGTGTTGTAAGAATATTGATCAACAAAGGCCTCGACCAACCTCTCCCAGTTTTGCTTCACTGTATCCTCCAACTAGGCATACCAAGTGGCAGTTGCACCTGACAGGGTTCTAGCATACAAAAAGAGTTTCTGCGGCTTAGTCAGACCCATCGGTTTCAGGATATCCACAAAAAACCGGATATGTACCATAGGATCCCCAGGCCCGTTGAAACGGTCAATATGTGGCATTCTGAATCTATCTGGGAGCCTTACGGCAACCTCGGTATACCCATCCTCAATGTCATTAATTGAGTTAAAGCCCTGTGCCATTTTGACCTGCTCCTCAAGGTTCGCAATTTTCTCTGACTTCGAATCAAGATCAGCAGTATCAAGGGAATAAAGCCTCTCAGTAGGCTGCGCCAAGGGTCTGAAAACCTGGGCTTGAGCCAACCCTTCCCGGGGATCCGGACCAAGTAAATCTTCAGCTAGCGGGAGTGGGTCCAAGTTCGGTTGGGGTCCCGAGACTGGATATGTGATAGATGCCCCAGATGGGTGTTGCATTTCAGCACTGGTCTCACCCCGCATGGAGATTCCCTGGTTTAACATTGCAAGGAATTGCACTTTTGGCGACGATGTCAATTTTTCATCGCCAAAAGTATATTTTTGCCGACAGAGTGATCAATTTCATTGGTAAAAGTATACCTTTACCGACACAATTTGTTGCCGTCACTAAAAAGGCATAACATTATTTTAGCACCAAATTTTTTGGTTGGCGCCAAAATTTCAAAATTTTTACCTACGTGGCTTATGTTTTAGCAACACAATGAGCGTTGCTATTAGTGTGCTTACTTTTGGCGATGACAAATTTGGGTGGGCAAAGAGTTAACCATTTAGTGACGATGACACTATTCGTCGGTAAAAGTTTTACTAGTGGAATGATGTGATTTAGTGATTTGTGTTTTTGATAATAATTTTTGAAAGAGTTTTAAATATTTTAGTTACTGAATTGTAAAATTAAAATGATCATTGAATTAGATCACAAAATGAACCCATTGAGCCCAAACACACTCTTAAGTTGAGATGACTAATTTGAGATAATTTAAACTTTTTCAAAGAATATGGTTAGATTATCAATTTCAATATGTTTGTTTTTATTTTCAGAAACTAGTTTCAAATTTTTTTTCCTAAAAAACTAAAAAAAAAATTGGGCAAAAAAAAAAAACTTATTCTTTTTGTATATTTTTATCTTTTAGGTCATAAATACTTTTAAAATTTTAAAAATATAATTTTGATTTTTATTGCTTTCAAATTATTTTTAATTTTTTCAAAAAAAACAAATCTAAAATTTTTTTTGAATTTTTTTTTAATCTTTTTAGGTCATAAATATTTTTTAAAATTTTAAAAATATAATTTTGATTTTTATCACTCTGAAATTATTTTTAATTTAAAAAAAAAACAAATCTAAAAATTGTTTTGAATATTTTATTTTATTTTTATTTTTTGGGTGATCTGCTTATCGACGGAAGACATTTCCCTCTTAAAATTCCCTATTTTTTTTTCACTACAACAAAATTGGGTTTTTACGATTTCACATCAATGACATACAGTAAATGCAAGCTGTGGTTTCTCACTTTTACAACTTGTTTTTTTTGCATGTCATAAATAATTTCCCAACCACGACATGTCTATTGCGTAGGTCGTGAATGCTAATAACGATGATTTTTTTACGGCTTGCAATGTTAGTCGTAAATAATAAAACATTTCTATGACATGCATATGGCATGCCGTTAATACATTAACTATAAACGACATGCATACAATAGCCGTTAAAAATATTGAGCATTCCACGATACACAAAAAACCAGTTGTTAAAAATTATACGTTTTACGACGCACAAAATGTCAACCGTTTAAAATATTATACTTTTTACGACACATAATTTATGTCGTGAATGGTACGACTGAAAATTAAAAAAGTGCCAAAATGAGGTACATGTGGCGACACATAATTTATGTCGTGAATGGTATGACGAAAAATTAAAAAAGCGCCAAAATGAGATACATGTGGCGCCAATGACCAAAAATATATTAGAATTTTTTTTTTATCAAATTGTTTGGGTTCTGATTGGGTTAAGGAAAATAGAAAGCTGTAATCGGATAAAACTAGAAGAGAGGGAGAAGAGAGAGGGTTCGAACCCTCATGTCTCTGCAAAAACTCTTCAAACCCGTACCCTCTCTCTCCATCAGACCCCTAATCCCAAACCCCCCTCTCTCTTTTTTTCATCTCTCGGCAAAAACTCTTCAAAACCCTCACTCTCTTTCTCTATCAAACCCCAAACCCAAACCCCAACTGGCATAACAATGAGTGAGAAGGAGAAGATGGAAAAAGAAAATACACACAGACAGAGCTCTAAGCTGGAAGAAAAGAACGAAGAAAGAGAAGTAACGATGGAGAGAGAAGACGGCCGAGAGGAGACAGAAGAGACGAATGCATGCGAAGAAGAACACTTCCACCATTCAATCAGGTTTGTAGATTCAAACTAGGGTTTTGACTTGGGGATTTTCACTGAAAAATCAAGGTTTTGATTGAGCAACTCCAAAATTATGTAAAATTAGAGAACCTTAAGGAACTCTAGGTCCTTGAATTAATTTTGAAAGCACGTGACTGTATTGTTTTAGATTGTGAATTTATTCTTTTTTTTATAAACTTCTTGAATCTGAGTTGGGAAAAATATGTTCAATGTCTGTTGCGTATTGTGAAATTGGGTTCTTTAATGGGTTGAACACAATTTTTTATTTTTTTTAAACTTGTTAATCTAAAACAATTGTTGTTCTATTACAAAAATTAGGATCCTTTAACTTAGTTGTGATTGCATAAAAAAAATAAAAATAAAAAAAAAAATTCTTGAATCTAAAATTAGAGAACCCTAAGGGAATTCCAGGTTCTTGAACTAGATCTAGGAAGGAATTGAACTGGGAATAGGTTTATCGATTTTGTTTGATAATGCTAACTGATATTTGGCTTTCTTATTCTCTTTCTAATTTATCAAAGAGAACAAGCAGTTCTGAAGAGATTGCAACAGGGTGAAATTGTGGCCCAAATTTGTGATGCAGGAACACCAGGCATAAGTGATCCTGGTTTGGAATTGGTGAGCATGTTATAATTTTCTGTTTGTTTGTGATGAGAAGAACTGAATGTTCTCCTTTGGAAAAATGGCGGCTGTCATGTCAATCTCTACTTGACTGCATTACATTTGAATCCTTATTGTTAGCTTGTAAGGTTTACATCACAGTATTAGAGCATATATATACACCTCCATATGTTATCATGGACTTTACCACACTTCTTTCCCGCACACATTAATCCTATACTCTTTGTTGATGTAAGTTTTTTATTTTTTTTGGTTATGTTTGATTGTTCGACTAATTTGGTCACCCTAGTTTGCTAATATAGAGCACAAATATAGCAGGGGAGGACAACTGTTTGTAATTTCCACACACTCGTACACTTTAATTTATTTTCTTCTTTTATTTTGGTTTACTAAATTTTATATTGTGATAACTGACAATCAATTTGGTATTTTCTCTAGTTCACATAGATTGAAAGCATGTAATGCTTCTTTTGAATAAACCAAATCTCCTAAGATGTAGGATCGCAGAAACAATCCCAATTTTCATTCTAATGGTTTTTAAATAATCTTTTTTCAATAATATGACCTTCAAAAATATTGCTAACTTTAATTTGTAATGTGTCCTCTAAAGGTTTGAAAGGAACTCAGATTTTAGTTGAGATGACAATTTAATTGGATGCTTCATGGGTTAATTAATTGATATGGACATAAACAATGTATTTTAGAAACTTGATGTAGGTTAAGTTATGTGTGGATGAAAATATTCCTGTTATTCCTATCCCTGGTCCTTCTGTGAGAATTTAGAATATATTATCCTGTGTTTATTATCTTGTGTTTTACAAATTAGAGTCCTATTAGAGGCATGATTGTGTTAGAGTCTTGTTAGAGACATAATTAAAATTGTATTTGTATTTTCCTTTTTGGTTTAGGATTTTGGGCTATATAATCTAAGGTCTGATTGTAATCTTGGAAGTAATGGAATATACATAAAAGCTCTCAGAAATCTTACATGGTATCAGAGCCGTGTACAAAACCCTAGTCCCATCAATTGTCGACTCCAGTTCTGGTCTCTATGGTTCGACCTCTCTTGTGAGTGGTCCAGCACTGAATCTGATACGATTGTATTAGAATCACATTTAGCACCTCTCTTCGCCGGAGTCGAGACCCAACCAAAACCGGAATTGCAACTCATGACTCACCCATCTGGTCTGCGATCAGCCCCTCTGTGTTTGACTCTGCCTTACGTGATTAAAGCTCTGCATTCTTCTGTCTCGCAATCAGCCCCTCTGTGTACGTCGCATCTGATACGCGCGACCCATCAAGTTATTTTGACTCATCTGCTTATTCGACCCATCTGGTTGCTTTGTTTGGTTCGGTTGATTCAAGAGAGTGACAGTCCGTGGTCTCCTAATTTACCTCTAAGTCACGATAAGTCTCTCTCTTCACTGAGGTCGCTCTGCGCTATCGCAGTCGTCGCCTGAGCCGTTGTGCCGTCACTGGGGCAGTCGCACCATCGCGGCCTTCGTGCCATTGCCGTCTCGTCCTTACTGTGTGATCAGATCTGATCTCTTCCTTTCAACCCAGACTTTCTCTCTCCCCTCTTTATCTCTCTCCTTGTTTTCGATTCCTCTATCTTTGGTTCCGGTTTGTTGTTAGTTGGCCTGGAAAAGCTTTCATTTACAATTTACCCCCTCAGGTTTGACTATTACACTTAAACTCTTGGTTTGGCTATTTTGTTTAATTATACTTGAACCTCTCAGTTTTCTGATTATTGTGATGTCTCTGGGTTCTGATGAGTGTGCTTTCTGCCATCATAAAGGCCATTGGAAGTACCATTGTCCTAAGAAGAGATGTTTGTCTGCCACATCTTTTCACCAGTCTAAGAATCAATTTTGGGCTTCTCCTGCTGCGTACACTACATCCGCTCCAGCTCCCGATCCTAACTTGGCTTCCTTAATTGCTCAAATTAGTCAACTTCAGCATATATTGTCTACCTCCCAGCCATCCCCATTTGTCTCCATTGTTTCCTCTCTTCATTCAGGTTTGCTTGGTTCTTGTTCAGGTATTTCTTCGTCTGTTTGGATTTTTGACTCTGGTGCTTCTCATCATATGACTCCCTATCTCTCCTTACTTCAAAATTATACTTCTCCTCCCTTTCCTATTACTATCAATGCTGCTAATGGATCTGGTATGTCTGTTCTGTCTATTGGGTCTGTCTTACCCTCTGCCATGTCTGCTGTTATATTCCTTTTGTTTTTTATGTTCCGCAGTTATCTGTCAGTTTGTTATCTATCAGTCAACTTGATGCGTCTAGTTTTGATGTTATCTTTTCCTCTTCTGTCTGTTGTGTGGAGGATCGGGTGTCCAAGAACCAGATTGGGACCGGCCGTAGAATTGGAGATCTCTATGTGGTTGAAAGCTTGCATCTCCCCTTATCCACCTCTCTAGCTGCACTTTCCTCATTTCAATTACATTCTCAGTCGAGTCAGTTTTACTTATGGCATTCTCGTCTCGGTCATTTGTTTGTTGACCACTTATGGTCTTTAGCTCAGTCAGGATTACTGGGTAAAGTTTCTCCTAGTCAAATTGATGAATGTCGGGGGTGTGAACTTGCCAAAATGTCAGCCTTACCTTTTTGCAAAAGTACTTCTATATCTGATGCACCGTTTTCTTTAGTTCATACTGATGTTTGGAGCCGTTCCCCTGTTCTCACCAAAGGGGGCTCTGCATACTATGTGTTTGTTGATGACTGCACCCGTTACACTTGGGTTTATCTTATGACTCATAAGTCTGATTTCTATCAGATATACCGTACTTTTCAGTCTATGATTACTACTCAGTTTGGGTCTGCAATTAAAGTGTTACGGTCTGACTTGGGTGGGGAATATTTTAAAAATGAGTTCTGTGAGTATTTGGCCAATTTGGGTACCATTCACCAAACTTCCTGTACAGATACACCTGCCCAAAATGGTCGTGCCGAGCGTAAACACCGTCATGTTCTTGAGACCGCTAGGTCTCTTCTTCTCTCTGCCTCAGTTCCGGCTCCATTCTGAGGTGAGGCAGTTCTTACTGCTGCTTTTCTTCTCAACCGCATGCCTACTCCCTTCTTTCCGGTCGGTGTCCTTATGAGGCTTTGTTCTCCCAAATTCCTAACTATTCCCTCCTTCGTGTGTTTGGGTCTGCCTGTTTTGTTCTTCTTCCCCGCAAAGATAGGACCAAATTTAGTGTCCGGTCTATCCTCTGTGTCTTTTTGGGTTATAGTTCTACTTAGAATGGTTATCAGTGTTACGACCGTGTTTCCCGACGTCTTTATGTCTCCCGTCATGTTGCGTTTCTTGAATGTCTATCTTACTTCCAACTTCCCCCTCTCACTGCTCCAGTTTCCAAAGAGGATTTGGTTCACCTTGACCCATTTCTTTCAAAGGTCTCGTCTGATGAGTACATCTCCACTATTCCTCTTGAGCTTGTTCCATCTTCTCCTCCTATACCTCTAGCTGCTTCTCCTTCTTTGGCTTCTTCTCCTCCCTCAGCTTCTTCTCCTCATCCGTTGCTAGTTTATTCTCGTCGCAAGGCTCCGTCTCCACTGGTTCTCACTGCCCCAGCTGTTGCTCCCTCTGCTTCTGACGACTCTGATCCTGCTGCACACCGATATCCTTCTCGAGCACGTCATCCTCCAAACAGGTTGGGTTGGTCTAATACTTGTTTTTCTACTTCCTAACGTACCTTTTAGTCTGTTATTCACTCTTTTGTAGACCCTCAGTCTTACAAAGAGGCCTGTCAGCATCCTTATTGGGTTCAAGCTATGGAGGATGAGTTGTCTGCTTTACAAAAAACTAGTACTTGAGAGTTGGTTCCTTTGCCTGCTGATAAGAACCTGGTTGCTTGCAAATGGGTCTACAAGGTCAAGACTTATTCTGATGCTTCTGTTGAGCGTTACAAAGCTCGTCTGGCTGCCAAAGGTTTCTCTCAAGAGTATGGTATTGATTATGAGGAGACATTTGCTCCTGTTGCCAAAATGACTACTGTTCCTACTTTGATATTTGTTGCTGCTGTTCGTTCTTGGCCTCTTTATCTGATAGATGTTAAGAATGCTTTTCATAATGGCCATCTCACTGAGGAGGTTTACATGCGTCCTCTCCCTGGCCTTCACCATCCCCCTGGCCAGGTTTGTCGTTTTCGGTGTGCTCTGTATTGTCTAAAGTAGTCTCCTCGTGCTTGGTATGATCGATTTCAGACTGTTGTTACCGAGCTCGGGTTTCATCCTTCTGCTTCCGACTCTGCTTTATTTCTGCGACATACCTCGGCTGCTTTTGTTGCTTTCTTACTCTATGTGAATGATATAATTATCACTGGCTCAGACTCTTCTACTATCTTTGAGGTCAAGCAGCATCTCTTTCGCACTTTCGAAATGAAGGATCTGGGTCCATTATGGTATTTTCTTGGTATTGAGGTTGCTTCTTCTCCCAAAGGCTATTTTCTATCTCAGGCCAAGTATGCTAATGAAGTCATTCATTGTGCCGGTCTTACTGATACTAAGGTTTCTGATACACCTATTGAGCTTAATGTGAAGCTTAACTCTATTGATGGTGTCCCTCTGGATGATCCCACTTTATATCGCGAGGTTATGGGTTATTTAGTTTATTTGACTGTCACTCGCCCTGATCTTGCTTATGCTGTTCATGTGGTTAGTCAGTTCGTTTCTGCTCCTCGCTCTACCCATTGGGCTGCTTTGGTTCGCGTTCTTCGCTATCTCAGGGCTTATTGTTGTCCTCTACTTCCTCTTTGGACTTGGTGGCTTATGTTGACTCTGATTGGGCCGGTGATGTTACTGATCGTAAGTCTACATTTGGTTTCTGTATGTTTCTTGGAGAATCCTTGATCTCTTGGAAAAGCAAGAAACAATCAGTCGTTGCTCGCTCTACTGCTGAAGCTGAGTATCGTGCTATGGCTTATGCCACTGCTGAAATTGTTTGGCTTTGTTATCCCTTGTCTGATTTGGGTGTCTCTTAGTCTTCTCCGACATCTCTCTATTGTGACAACCGCAATGCTGTTTAGATTGCCCACAATACTGTCTTTCATGAGTGGACGAAACATATTGAGATTGATTGTCACTTTGTTCGCCAGCATCTGCAGTCTGCCTCTATCTCGCTTCATTTCATTCCTTTGGCTTTGCAACTTGCGGACTAATTCACCAAGACTCACACTACCGCTCGGTTTCAGTTTCTTCTTAGAAAACTCTCAGTGTTTTTTGCTAAAACACCTTGAGTTTGAGCGGGGGTGTGAGAATATAGAATATATTATCCTGTGTTTATTATCCTGTGTTTTACAAATTAGAGTCCTATTAGAGGCATGATTGTGTTAGAGTCCTGTTAGAGAGATAATTATAATTGTATTTGTATTTTCCTGCTTGGTTTAGGATTTAGGGCTATATAATCTAAGGTCTGATTGTAATCTTGGAAGTAATGGAATATACAAAAAAGCTTTCAGAAATCTTACACCTTTTGCTTTTGTTGCTACACTTTCTGCCTCAGGGTTGGCTACTGACGAGTTTACATTTGGTAAGTTGCTCATGAATTCGACACCCTTAGTGTTGGCAACAATTTGGTGATAGTGGTAGGCCAGTAGCTAATACCATATGTATTGTTGGTTGTCTGTAGTTGGATTTCTGCCCAAACATGTCGGATCAAGGAAGGAAAGGTTGATTGTATCTGCAAAGGAAGTAGCAACACATATATTCTGGGTATATGCTTGGTTTGGTTTTGGGAGAATAGTTTTTAAAAATTATTTTGGGGAGGTAGTTTAGAATTTTTTTTTGTTCGTTTGGTTGTGTATTTTGAAAATAGTTTTGGAGTTTGGGAGTTTGAAATGATTTGATATTTTGTTATGATTGAGTAGATGTGTATGAGAAAAAAAGTGATTGAAAATTAGAGAGGAGAGAGAAAAAGTGATTGATTGATAGGTAAGAGAATGAATGATTTTGGAAATTGTTTTGAAAAATTTACAAACCAAACAAATTTTTTAGAAATTTCTTTCCAAAATTACTCTACAAATCCAAACCAAACATACCCTCTATGTTCCTCCTCATAAGCTTCATCAATTTATTGAAGAGGCTTCTTCTATTTTCGGTGACTGTAGGTAAATATTTGAGGAAGATCTTTATCATATCTTAGGATAATAATAGGAGTTTTCATGTCTTTGGGTACGTGCCACATCAACAAAAACAAAAAGAATCTTAGTTTGTGCTTCCTTTCGTATGATTTTTTGAGATAGTCGTAGACCATTTTTTTTCTTCTGTGGATATAAGTTTTAAAGTGTATAGCAGAATACATATTCATCATATCTTTGATACATATAGTGTATCATAGAACAAGCAAATAGCAGTTCTTTTGATTAAATTTATAATGAGAATATTTATCAGCCAAATACATTTTCTTTAAAATCTTTTTGTTGACTTGAATACACTTTGAATAATAGTAGAGGGACTAGAAAATTCTTTTTAATATAAAAAATTTATGTTACAGTATCTCTAATATGATTTAGGTTTCATTTTAAAATGTTTTCATTGGGTATTTATGTCTTGGATGACTACTAAATTAGTTACATAAAAAATGAGGATGTGTGTGAACTTATCATGTCAGCTTGTTAAGCATATGCCATGGTCTTGCCCTTTCTTGTTCTTAATCTAGTAAGAGATGGACCTGTCTAGGTCCAGTCTAGTTTGTTTCAGAGGGCAAGCTTCTTTTTTCTTTGAACATTGGCATTACAGTGTTACGTTCTATGTGTTCTTTAGGCATTTTGTTTTGTTCTTGTAGTTCTAAGTTATCACAACTCTGTGCAACACATGAAGGATTGTTGAGAAGTAATCATCATTTTCTTAGATTAAGCAATGCTAAAGTATTGTGAATTTAATTTTGAGAACTATTTCAAGCAAACTATATCTATTAACAGTGTAAAAATTCATATACTATATCTATTCAAAGATATCACTTGATAAGGATTGGTGAGCTTATTAGTTGACCGTTTGATTTGGTCCTTCATTTACTTTGATGTATTTTCATTTTTTAAATACTTGGATTAATGAATGTTCTCAAGTATTCCAGGTACAGTTGGAAAAATGACGTTGGAAACTGTTGGTATTGAGACAAATGTTTGCATGAAAGAATTAGATATTCAACCAAATTAAATGAAGTTTGTATATGTTGTTGGGGTTGTGCACACAAATCCATTCACCATTTATGTCTATAAGCTCTATCAAGAGCTAGATTCTCCATTGGTTTATAGGCCCTTGCTTAGTTCCTCATCAATTCAAGCCACATTCTTCTTGACCTTCTTGACATCTTTGTGTTGCCTTGTGTTAAAGTTAAATCACTTGTTACATCAAAATAAGAAGGAATAAAAGTCAATCCTAATAAGTTTTCACTATGGTGCAGTCGCAGTCATAACTCACTCGAGAACCGTATAAATGTGTAGTCATAGATTCCCCAGGGGCACCGCACTGGGGGCCAGAGGCGGGCGGAAGGGACTAACTAAATAAATTTTGGTTTATAAATTTACTTTTATTGGCAGTGCAAGATTTTGGCTCCTATGTTTTCTATATATTCCTATCACTTCTTCTCCATTTAACAAAAAGATGCATGCTGCCTGAGGATTGGTTATGACCGTTGTTTTGATGTGTTGTAGACAATGTGCCATAGCTCGAGAGATGACAAAAATACATGAAGAGGTGGGTTTGTATTTTAAGTTATTTGCTATAGTTTCTCTTCTCTTTGATAATTGTTCTTGGTTGCACATGGTTTTTCTAGAAACTCACTATGTTGCTGGTTATATACCCTGCAAATCTGGGATGCATTTATGAAGGTTATGACCGTTGTTTTGATGTGTTGCAGACAATGTGCCATAGCTCGAGAGATGACAAAAATACATGAAGAGGTGGGTTTGTATTTTAAGTTATTTGCTATAGTTTCTCTTCTCTTTGATAATTGTTATTGGTTGCACATGGTTTTTCTAGAAACTCACTATGTTGCTAGTTATATACCTTGCAAATCTGGGATGCATTTATGAAGTCAGTGGTTTCTCCCAATTGACAGCCTTCACAATATTTAGTCTCATCTTTTACTTGACTATAATACTACAATGATAGTCTTTTAATGACTTAGACACGTTAGTATGCTGTGACAATCATGGTATGTAAGTGGATAAACATATTTTCACTGCTGATCATGTCACCATGTCTGCGGGTGTTGTTCTCTTTTGATTTACTAATATAGATCATGCCTTTATAGTTTTGGTATGGAACTTTGGAAGAAGCTAAAGGAGCATTCTTGACTTGCCAACCAAAAGGAGAAATCACATTCTTGATTGAAGGAAAGGCAAATTGTGTGGTGGAAGCTCCATCTGAGTCTCCGCTTGAGAAGGAACTGAGAGAGTTGATCTCTGGAGGGCAATGTCTTTCTGCGGTATTGGATTTTTTCTGTTTGCAGTGTATATTTAAATCTATGAAGAGTTGAAACTAATGGTTGCATTTGCAGGGTCACTTGCTGGCATCCTTCCCACTATATGTATCATTTCACAAGAATATGAAGGAAATTGATGTAGTGATGCTCATTTTGGACTTTTATTGGTCATTAGGAACTTATACTAACTACTAGTGTATAAGTTCTTCTATGAGTTTGCAAAGGGGTATTGTTTGTGAAACCAAAATGTTACTTAATATTATCTGTTCTATGAGTAGGAACAGATTAGACTAGGTAAAGTTTAAATTTATGGCATAATTGGAGGGGCTAATTAAATCTAAGGAGAAAGGAATATGCAATGTGGTATCATGCTTGCCATATAAAACTTCCCCTTCATTTTTCACTACTTCCACGTTACACATCACTCCAGAAGCACTTATTTATATCGATCCTAGTCTTATTCGATGGGAATGTCCTATGTTACATGGACTCGGCTACAAGTACTAGGGGCGTATGTGTGTGTGTCTAAGTATTAGACCTTTGTAAATCTAAATCTAAGGATATAGGGATATGTATCCAAAAGAGGGATATGTATCCAAAAGTTGGATATGAGAATGAGGACTCGTCATGGACACATATATTGCATATTGTATAATATTCTTGAATAAGATGTGGTAAATTATGTAAAAATGTACTTGAAATTAAATAGAATTTAGAGAAAATAAAGAATTTCATCTCCTATCTATGTTAGAGCTACAAATGTTTCTTTACTAGCTAATGTGAAATTCTTAATCTTCAAATATCGTAAAAAGTTTGAGGATTTGGGAGACACATGTCCCACACCTTTATCTTTGTCATATCCGGTAGACACAGATACTTTAGAAGAAGTAGAAGAGTCCATGTAACAAGGAATGTCCTTTGCAATCTTTCTTTTCTTGTGGACAATAATAGATAAAAGATATTGGAAATGGTCACTTTTAAGTCTTAGCCGCCAAGTTTTATCAGTCTCATTCCTACATTTAATTTTGCTAAATTTATACGCCACAGATTCTTATTCTGCCAAAGCTTTAGATCCTATTTCTAACTTTAAAATAACTTATTTGTTTTATCAAACTTAAATCATGTTGCTAACCATTTAACGAACATCATAGGAATTCTCTTGGGTACGCTTAGTAAGTTAGCCAATTCAAAAAATAAGGTGTCTAGTACCAATTTTTTGATGATGTAAAGCCTATTTGCTATTTTTATTTGGTATGTAGGAGGTGAGATTATATGCTTTGGCCAATGGTCTATATTAAATGTTCAAGCGAATCCTGTCTTATTCTTCACTGGTTTATGAGGAATATATGAAGTGATTGATTTCATGGAGTGCATTGTCAGTGTGATAATTGCATTGTTCACTTGAAGTGAAACTTCTCTTTTTGGATGTTAGAGAAAAGCATTGGCTACAATTTGTTTGATTTTTGAAAATAAGATTCCTGTCTGAAGGATGATTGATCTGATAGTAGTATGGGAAATTTGACCCAATGAGCAGTTATTTTGCTGTGGGCTAGCCTTTCATAAGTACATTGTCTTCTACATTAATATTATTTTTGAGCCAATAACTTTTATGATTACATGCATCTAGGCAGTCAAGTTGGTTGCTGGAGGATATTTCATGCGAAGAAAAGATATATATTCACTTGCACTAAGGAAATTTGGGAAGCAAGTTGACAAGGAGAACTGATGCAGATTATATGGTAATTCTCACTGCTTTTATGACTTCTGTCACTATAGGAAATATAGAATTTAACGGCATTTATTTAGCGACGTTTTTTTAAACACCACTGTTTCTAACTTTTAACGACATTTTTTAAACGTCGCATTTTATTTTTATTAAAATGGCACCGTTTAAGGAATAGAAGTCGTTTTTTAAACGCCTTCACATGTATTACAATAACGTTATTCCTCTGTGTTTCTCTTAGCTTTGTGAGAATCAGAACCCTTCTCTCACTCTCTTCAAGCCCTCACCAATCCCTCAAATCTCTCACTCACTTGATCGTTCTCTCTCTCTCTCTCTCTAAACCCTTCAGTCTCAGAGATTAAGATTCAACCTTATTCAACTCGGTTTCATCCCAGATCCAATCTCAGAGTGATTTCGATTTCGAAGTTCTCTCTCTCTCTCTCTCTCTCTCTCTCTCTCTCTCTCTCTCTCTCTCTCAATTTTGAAGCTCCACCGCCGCCACCATCACCACCACCGTTGACTAAGTTGAGCACCACCGTCTACAATCTCAATTTTGTATTCTCTCTCTCTCTCTCAAGCTTTTCCTTCCCTCGATTCTTCTCCTAGGGTTTACATAAGTTTAAGATTTCAGATTTGAGATTTCTCATATGTTTCAGATTTGAGATTTCTTATTCAAAATAATGTTTGAGATTTGAAATTTCTTTTTCAAAAAAGCATGTTTCAGATATGAGATTTCTCATTCAAAAATATATATTTCTAATTTGAAATTTCTCATTCAAAAATAGTTGTTTGAGATTTGAAATTTCTCATTCAAAAATATATATATATTTCATTTTTCATCTTCTTCTCATCTGTGTTTCACTCCAACCACCACCTCACCACTGTGCAGTCATTTTTGTGCACTCTGTCTCTCTCTGCGTGGTTGTGTGTGTGGTATGAGATAAGAGGCAAGTGGTATCATTGGAGATCTCTGGTATCATTTTTTAATGATTTGGTTTGTTTTGGTGTACTTTGGAGATTTTTGGTATCATTTTTTAATGATTTGGTTTCTTCATTTTTCCTGCTACTTTGCATATTCCTACAGGGAGGATGCATGGCATCTTGGGATAGTCAGTATTTGAATGCTAGCTTCTTCTTTTTTTGTGTGACAATCTTCTTGTAATCAGCCTAAGCCCTCTCTATGAAGGGGGAGGGAGGGAGGAGAGTTGTGCAATGTATATTTCAAGCTACAAAATATAGCTAATATGCCCCTTCTGGAGTGTTTTAATCTCTTGTACTCATGATTTATTGCACAAACAGGCTTCGCTTGATCAATCCCTACCTTTCCAGGGAAACGGTGCTATTGCACTTCTTCTTGGTGCTTTCTACTTGCTCAGTGGATGCTACTCACTGTACTTGGGTCACTTCAGAGGCATATTCATCTCCCTCAATTGTCTTAGCTGCAAGGGGTGCACATGGTAACAGGGTCATTTTTTATGATTACCGCGAAGCATACTTCTAGCTTCGACAGAATACTCCTCCAGATGCTAAGGTGATGTCCTGGTGGGATTAAGGATTTGACCGTTTGCTGAAAAATAGCTTAAAGAAATTGTATTCTAATCTTGTTATAGATCTTTTTTTTAACCAAGCCTTCTTTTTATAGTGATAAAAACACTGAATGGTTCTTTTTTTTTTTAATTTTTTTTTTGAATTTTAATTTAATAATTTAACTTTTAGATGCAAAAGCTATGCCATGTAATATTATATTGGTAACTATTGCTGATTACGGCTGCATTCCCTTCTCCCTGTCTCCCTTATTGCTTCGTATGGTGAAGTGTTTCCATATAAATCAACAGATGGTAAATAATTTGATTTGTTTGCAGAGTATCAAATAAGTATGAGACTTACCTGTAGTATATAGGTTGCAGAGTATTTGCAAATAAGATGCAAGACCATCTGATGCTTCTTCTGGATAAGCTGGCTGCTTATTAGGGTCATAACAATAGTCCACTTATGGTGACTGGATCATCATACATTTTTCATCTGCCCCTGGGCCACTTAATTGAGGCGAGTAAGGAGGCTATCCTAACTACAAACACAATAATTTCTGAATGCAATATAGTATCTATGCTTCTATTTATATACATTTAGTACCGCATCAATTTTGTCGTCCAAATTCTATTAGAGGTGTTTATATGCTTCGTTTTATGTTTGGGTCCTCATACATAGCAGACTTGAGCTGGCTTTCCCTCTGCTTTCTTTATTAACTAAAATTATTCATGCTTTACTAGATTTAATCTTTCTCTTACTAATGCCTATAAAATATTGCAGGTCCAGATGCCTCAATTGATGAAATAACTGATTTTTTATGTGCTGCTCAAATGGCAAAGGCAGCAGATTATCTACTACCTGATGATGATAAGTTTTTTATTTTTTATTTTAATTTTTTGTATTTCTTTCCCATAATGAAACATCAGGTTTTCAATTAACTCCTTTTCATGATAGGGGAATACATTTTTACGGCTTTTATAGTTTGTTTTTTAATTACTAATGCACCAGATCCTTGTTTTTATTTATTTATTTTTTTTTTGTTAATTCTGTTCATACTGCCATTAGTAAATCCTCTGCGTAATTGATCTTTTCTCAAATTTCACAGCCGAAGCCAAAGAGGAAATTTTTTGAGAGAGAATTGTGGAAAAGGAAAAGGAAAATGAGGTATAAGAATTGATCTGTTCATATACGAGTGCAATACTTGCTGTGAAATTAAGAGATTGGGTTTTGGAATGCGAGAAAAGTTGCATTTGATGGGCATGCATGTTGAAGGGAAGGTAATAAATTACTGTTAAATTTTAATTTTACTTTTACATCACACATCTATAATGAGTTATCCTTTGTTATACTGTTCTGAATTTCATGTTTTCTCCCTGCATCTGAAATGTGTAATCTGTAGAGTACAGAATCGATCTAGAATGTTTTGTAATGATTTTTAAAATTGGAATAGTTGTCATGTGCCATTGATTGCGAAAAAATGACTAATGCTTAGTAATTTCTTCTTACATTTAACAAAAAATGTCTTTCTTTGTCTCTTCTAGGTCTTGATTGGGGTAAAGTTCCATCGTCACTGGCCTTTCCTTGGCCTTTTGAGAGTATGCTTTGTCGAGCCACCATATTTTCAGATGACAGTGGAACCTATTTTCACTCATGGGCTTGATGTTACAGAACTTCCAAGGATTGCTGGATGGTTGGTAAGTTATTGTCATGTTTCATGTGCAACGATTTCTTCGATATTGTAAGTGACGTCAACGTGTATTTAGTAGGATGTTTGGTAAAAACGCCGCCTATACTAATATCACGACGTTTTTAAAACGTCATAAAGCTATAGCGACGGCCGCGTCCTCGACGTTTGATACTAAGCGTCACAAAAAGAATTGGCGACGTTTTTGACACTTATAGCGGCGTTTTTTAAACGCCACTGAAAGTTGAATTTCCTGCAGTGTGTTTTCCTGTCATTAAAGATTTCAAAGTTCATCTCTCTACAATTTTTGCTGGCACTTGATCTTTTTGGTTGTTGCTGGCAACTGCCGCATGCAAATCCCTTTCTCTTTTCTTGTCTTCCACATTGCCCTTTGTTTTTGGGTAATGCATGCCCATATGGGTCTTTAAGGTGAAAATAATGCAAAAATAGTTAAAATTCCGATGCACTTTCCTTGTATTCTTAAACATTTTTATACATTTCTATACACTTTTTATACATTTTCTACACTTTTTACACATACATTATGACTGATGACCACCCATTGGTTGGTCATTAGCATATCTCTTGCTTTCTTTATATATGTCAAAGGGCTCTCCTTTTTTATATTATATTCTCTTGCTCCTCCATCTTTGTTATATTGTATTCTCTCTCCTTTTTTACTCTTATATGTTTCAATTTTTACTTTCATCTATTTTCAGGCTCTGCTTGTGTACATACGGTTGAATTAGTCACATGCTAAACTGCATTCCATAGTTACCTGCAGAACTTTTGCTATCCCCTGACAATTTTATTATTAGCTTTGGTCTACGAAGCACCGACACACTGTCATCTCATGTATTATTATCCCAGATGTCTGAGACACATACTTCCGAACATGTCACCGACTTGTGTTTGAGAAGCGAAAAATAGTATCCAATTTTTCTTTTTTATTTTTTTAAATTATGGACATGTGATGGACAAGACAAGAAACATTGCCGGACACTTGCTTTTATTTATTTATTTTTTCCCACTAAAAGAAAGAAATTTATTGAAAGAAAGTGACCATGGATAAAACAAACTCTCGTTGCAATTGATGCCAGTGTTATTGGAACCCTAGATCGAAGGCTTTAACAACCACAATTAAAACCCTTGTTGAAGCCCTAGATAGAAGCACCCATCATGATTGAATCCCTCGCTGAAGCCCCCATTGCGATTGATGCCCTACAATGACCACACCTAATTGTGATTGAAGCCCTTGCAAAAGCCCCCATCAGAATTGATTTCCTAGACTGATGACACCGCATCAAGGCCCAAGCCTTCAGTAGTGGGGAGGCTATAGTTGCTCGAGTTGAGCTTGCAGAGACACATCTGGAGACAAAATGTACAAATCGTAGTAGATGAGTTGTGAAACGGAGAAGTCAAAGCGATCGTTTTGAATATATATATATATTTTTTTATGTTGTATACTCATGTGCCTTGTTGGCTTTGTTAATGTAGTAGATCCTCGACCTGGCCAATTTTTGGCCACATGTTAGAGAATAAAAATTCAATTGTATAATGGTTATTTTAGACAAAAATTATTTATTTGAGGTGTATGTGTCCTACTTTTGGAAAAGTGCTCTACATGTTCTAGTCCTACTTCTAAAAAAATGCCGTATCTGCTTGTCTGTGTCGTGTCTGTGTCCCGCACCCATATTTTTTCTTAGGCATTGATTTGTGACTCCTGGCAGTACTATGGTCAATAATTTGGATGGTCTAATGTTAGATTAGTTGCAGTTGATGCAATTTT